TTTACATGTTAGATGAATTTTTCTGCGTTTTTGAAAAAGGATCTTCGCTTTATGTGAACTCGATAAGCAAGCTAAACAGAGAGTCGCATGTATAATAAAGAGGTAATTTGGCAACTTCTTCTTTCTGAAAAACCAAAATCCCTTTCACATAACTGGCTGTAGTTCGTGTGATATGCTCACTAAACAAGGAACACGTCCATTCCGCTAAAACACAAGAAGCAGTAGGCGAACTTTGACGCAAAAATCACAGATCTGCTTAAAATGTGCTTTAGCGGGGTCTTTCGACATCCTCATCGCAAAAATCATATCCGCTTCGCACATTCTATTGTAAGAAGAGCTGGCTAACGGTAGAAACGACAAGAAGGTCGGTGTGAGAGCAGCAATTCATTAATTATCTACCATGTGAAGTGGCCCTTAAGGCGCTAGGTTGCTAATCTGGGAGATCACAAGATTATAAAGCCTAGATATTTTAGGAATTTTACAACAATTATTTATTTTTATCTCACCTTCTCGGAGTATATTCCAGAAACGAGCTGCTGTTGCTCGATCACCTGCAGCAGAGGCGCCAAGAGGTATGACGAGACCTTTTCTAGCTTCTGACATGCGAATAACTTCTTGCAGTTGGAAGAGGATATCGGCAAATGATAGAAGGCGACCACCAGTTCGGGTATGCACAACGAAGGCCTAAATGTGCAAATCATGAGCCTAAGAGGTTGAGGTAGAATGGCTAGCTACCTGATTTCTGCTCATCACAAGTATGTGCTCGTTCCCGTTGTTATGCCTTTCTTTCACCATTTGAACGTCTTCTTCAAGGCCAGGGCGCCTAAATTTTTAACGAAAGCTCCTCTTAAAGTGCGAACCGACGACGGACATCATGACAGTATATAAAATGCATTTAAACTGATTTTCATTCATTGCAGGTGATGATCGTGTTTGGTCTTGAAGGGTAGAAAAATTACAAACCAGGTGTCCAGTTTTGACTGAGGTCTATTACCTGTAGCAAGAGAGTATCCTGTCGTACTGTTGCATACACATTCTCACTTTGACTTTTCCAGTGGAAAACTCTCGCTCGACTTGTCTCCTGGAAAAT